GCTTAGCCTCCTCCCACGAATTGCTTTTACAACTAACCCTGATATTAGTTTAGGATAGTTCATGCCTTATCTTTGATAAGAAAATGGAATTGACGGTAGGTAGGTGCCAAAGTGCTTTTCAAAACAATATTACATTAGAATATAATTGGATTCTTTCTCAAATTTACAGGCCAAAGTAAAACATGAATTTCTGGATTACTGATGACCAACAAATAGCCAGTATTATGCTATGTACTTCTGTCAGGTCATTTTAAAATCCATACATTAATTTTATAAAAGAATTTTTTACATGTCACTGTCAGGAGCTCACTGTGAATGTGTTATCTTCAAATGGCTATTTAACCACACAGTACACTACATTTTACATAAAACATGCACTTAATCTCTGGGAATAATAAATTATATTATTTATAAATAATACATAGGTCAACAAGACTCCTTTAAGCAGGGAGGGAAAGAAGAGTAACAGCATTGTTGTCTGTGTGCCACACACCATACAGAACTTTGTGCTCTTGGTCACATAATGTACCCAAGGCTTTGTTGTATTTCTAAGAATTCCCATTTCAATGTTGAGTTCACCTTTATTTCAAAAAGTACTTGGCTTCTCAATTTCTTGGTTTGGTTTTGCTTCCACTTGGAAACTAATTAAGAAGGGAAAATGATGAGAATGTTCATACATGAAAATTGTTAATCTCCTGAAGACTAATTTCTACCTGTTGTGAACAATCCTGTTTTTAAAAGTTAAAAAAAAAAAAATCAAATCAAAAGAAAACAAAAGGGAATATTATGATGAATGTTTGGCTTATGTGAATCTTAGAGATAAACTTTATAAGACCACTTATTCACAAAATAAAGTTTTCTCTTCGTGTTAGAAAAATTTTTTAGAAATCCTGGGTATTGTACTTAAAACTCTAGCTAACCAATTTTAAAACCTGTATCCTTTTGAGAATTACATTGAGAGAAAAATACTTTTTATAAGCAGTAAAATAAGAATGTTCCAGTGACTACCTGTCCTGATACCTAGTCTTGTTAAAACTTTCTTTTGCAGGGCATTTTCATGTTTGGTTTACAGTCAGTGTAAGTGGGCAAGTTAATAAAAACTTTGAGCTTAGGGATACTGAAAAAAAGAAAGATCTAAAAAAAATGATTTGTTTTGGGGTACACTGAGACCCCAGTAAATTTTTCCTCATGTGTATGGTGCTCCTTATGATTCGTCTTGTATTTTGCCTTTATGACACCCATCAGAACTGCTGCTCTAACTTATACTCTCTACCTTGCCCAGATCTCCGTGTAAGGAATGCTTTATGATCAACTGCCATAGGACTGATGGATTAACCAGTGTTTGGCTTTATTCGAAGTTTATGCCCTGCACAGCTCTTGTATGTATTTTAGATGCTAGGAAGTTTTTAGCATGTGATGTGTGATTCTTGTTTGAATGTTTATTACAGGTACCTTGTGAATTCCAGAACAGAGACTGTGCCTCACAATTGTTGGTCCCATGAACTTGCACTATCCTTCATGGTGATGTTTCGAAAATACAATCAGGAAAAAAAAAAGTTTAGAACTTAAAAATGAGTCATATATCATGAAACTAAAAAGAATCTGTTCTTCCCCCTTTCCTCACTCCTAGGTAACAGCTACATTTAAGTAAAATGCAGGTGGTAGGGGAAAAATCCTGGCCAGATGATAGTTTAGTGGAATAAACTGATTACTGTTTTAAAAAAATGCTTCACCACGGATATTTTCCAGTTTCTCTTTTTTACCTTTTTAAAATACTACTTTTTAGGAATATTTGGTATAATGTGCATAAAATTATTTACTGATTTATGGGCAAAATGATACAAGTAGCATCTTGATTGAACATCATTTACCTCAGATACTCAACCAGCAGTACATTTTTTATGCAGTCTCAACCCATATCCTATTTGTTACCTCTCAAAATATTGGTAAACAGTTATTTTAGCTTTACTCTGTATTTCTTGTCAGTGTTTTGGGCACAGGTTGTTGTACTACTGTCAAATTGTACTTGCTATTTTTTCTGCAAGTATTTAACAAAAAGTTAAAAAATAAAAAAAAAGTCCCATAAAACCCCACCTTGGGTAAGTGATTGTTAAATATTGTACAAATAAAATGTATGCTATCCCCATTCCATTCCCAAGTTAAATAAAAAAATAAATATGGTATGATTTGCATATGAAGTTTTTCTTTAGTTATACGTTCTTAAAGAGGGGAACAGTAGCTTTATAATTTACAGTGAGGCTTACACCTTGAGATTTGCAAGAATGGGGATAGGTGAAAGGGAGGTTTGTCAGTTGTGGCATTTCCCTCCTTTGTTGTGTAAGCAGATTGTATTCCCACTAAACTACATATGTTGGTCCTGCCAGTTTTAAGAGAGGCTAAATGGCCTTAGATACCTTGTCTTTTCATACGGAGATTTAAAAAAAGTGGCTTAGGCAATAGACATCAAAGACATAAACTACTCTTCCCAACTATAACTAGTTTACCAGTTGAACAGAAGAATTCTGGTATTTTCATTTACAGTAATCGGTGAGAGAGATCACCAAGGAAGCTAGCATTCATTTACATTTTTAGTGTTGCAAATTCTTTTGTTTATCCTGTGACTTTCGAAGAAAGTGGGGGTGGAAGAGCCCTACCTTGTCACACTGAGTGTCACAGATCACACCCATGGATTCTCAATTTTTTTTTTGGTAAAGGTGAGGGAAAGGGCAACACTTAGGCTATGGTGGTTTGAAAGAACCTGCGTTGTCTTCTAAAACCAAATGAAAATGCAAACCATGGTGGAATCTGCAAGGAATCTCTACGGAAAGACCAAAACTGTTTCCACAGCGTTGTTCTGCAAAACAGATTCTTTAGACAGTTAATAGTATATAATCAACATATATAGCATTATGAATGTGGTAAGTTTGGACCAACAGCTCTTAACTCCTCAGAGCCAATCACATGCATGTCCACAAAACTGGAAAGACTTTTTTTCTTAATAAGATCCTGTTTTTGGTAGGGCACCTGGAGGGAATCACATGAGTGAAAACTGCACTGATGGCGCTAACATTCCTCCTCACCTGGTTTTCAGTCTTTTGATTGTGCTATTAACAGGCTACATTCCTCCTCTAGTAAATGAAAATATCTTTAAGCCATATTTGTTTACATTATTCTCAAAAGCTTTTTACTAGGGCTTTTTCAGATTTGGTTTTTATTTTATTCATGATGGTTTAAGCAATTTAAGAGATGAAGTTAGTTTAAAAAATTTTAAGTATATTTAGCTTCTCTGTATTAGGGAATATGGAAAGGGGGAACATCAACATTCCTCTGAAAAAAATGCCCTTGAAATGTAGGCACATGCTTCATTTGTATGACTTCTGCTAACCTATTTTTTCTAGTGTGTTTCATAGCTCTTTCACTGATATTGATGGATTTTCTGTAAGGCAGGTGAGGGCTCTCAAACTTTTAGTGGCATCTTAAGCTGATAAAAATTTGCAATCTTCAAGCCAGTTCTTTGGGTGCTTTTATGGTCAGTGCCTTTAAGCAGAGGGTACTTCTCTAAACAGATGAGAAGAATTTTTAAAGGGACAATCTTAGCTCAAGTGCAAAATCCTTGCTTCTGGTAATAATGATGCCACCATGGGAAGTATTTTTGCAAAATATCCCCTAAAAATCTGTAGACTATTGCATAGAACCAGGGTGCAAGCCTTAGCTTTCATAATACACTGCTGAAAAGTAAATGACAGTGATCTGAAAACTTAGAATGCCGGTATGCAAAGAACAGGTTGCAACTACTAAAGAGCTATTTTTATGCACAGAAGTCTCATATTCCATTCTAAATGCAATACTTCTTAAAAACCACGTAAATAGTTTTTTAGAGTATACTTTTAAAAATACATGGTAAGGAACGCATTACTGAGTTGTGGTGTCAACGAAATGAGTTGAATTCCAGGGTCTCCCAATCCTCTGGACAGGGCCACTACTGTGTTAGTTTTCTCACCTGTAAACAACAGTAACTAAATATCATAAGGTCTTTGACAGTTAAAAGGATTACAAACTGCACAAGGATAGGGAGTCTGTCTTTAGTAAACCTTCCATGAAAATAATAGACAATCAAATATTTTTAAATGAATGAAGTCACTAACACGTAACGAATGCTTACTAAATTTCATTTTAAACGTATACCAGCATTAGTTCACGGATTCCTGATGCTTTGCCATTCCCACATTCCTCCCTGCTCCACATTTTGATACAAGCAGGTTTAGTCAGCACCGTTATACACTTTCCATTACCTGTGGGGGTGGGTTCACAGGATCCCCTAAACTGCCTGTGTCAGAAAGACAAATGCTAGTCCTTAGAACAGGCACCAGAATCTGCATTTTAAAACATGCTACAAAAGATTCTTCTGTAGATGGTATGAGTACCATATTATAAGAAGCCTGGAAGAAAATGTTCAAACCTTTTGCTTTTTTCTCCCATATAAACCATCTTCTAGCCAAACTGATCAGTCTCCTGAACTAGAAGACCTGGGTCTGGGACAGAATCCCAAATTTCCATGAATACAGAAAAACTGCAGCACCTCCCAAAGGACCAAAAGATTACTCATTACACCTCAACTCTTACCATTGTTTCTTTACTGCTTTGTTTAAGGTTGGTAAAAAACATCTGGCTGCTGGGTTGAAATGAACTCTTCAAATGTACCACATAAATACTTCACAAGTGTTAAATAAGCATATGATTCAATCCCTAAAATAGTGATATTTATTTTTTTGAACTACCTACAACATAATCTAAATTACTGGAATTATAAATCATGTAACTGCTCATGTGCCGTGATTCAAAGGCAAGGCACAGCCATGATGCTACATGTGTAACAATCTCCCATAAATACAAAAATACATTTTTATAAATATAAGAAAATGTAATAACATATCTTGTTGAAGGACAACATTCTTTAGAGAAGTATGCCTGAAACTCCACAACTGAAGCCATGGTTATATTCATAACCAGCTTAGGGAGGATGTTGCCCACTGCCTAACATCTGTAGGACAGTTAGGGTATTTTTGCAAAGCATTCATAATTTGCGTATTATCCAAAAGTAGTTTCATCAGCTGGTACTCCCTCTGTGCATTTACTGATGTTCTTTCCATGGGCCTTATTAATTCTAATTGTTGTAAATGTTCAAAGGCCTGAAAGATGAAAGAAATAGTTTAGGTTGAATAGGGGAAGTAAAGTAAACAACATTAACTCAGAGAACAGTTAGGATTTTGGTCAGTTGTGGAATAGAGTACCAGGAAACAAAACTTAATAGCAGTAAAGTTCAAAAACAACTCTCATCAACCTCATAAAAACTTCACACATCACACGAGGCAGTGTCTATATACAGTTATCTGTCCCTGCATCACTGAATATAAACAGGGCAAACTTAATTCAGTTTGTACAACGTGGTTTTTGTTCCTAACCTCATTCTATATCATACCTCCTCCTAGTACTTAAGTTAACAATTTCCAGTTCTCTATAAAAACCTAAGATCTGATACGACCAGTACTTTTTGACTAATTGCCTAGGTTACTCAAATTCGCCTTTACATTTTGTTTCTACCTTTGTAAGACTTTGCTGTGTAAAAGTTTAATACAGCTGTAAAAAGAGAGGGAGGCACGAAAGACCCGTAGGAGTACACCTGTTCAGCTAACCCTATAAATAAATGATTCAGCAGAGTGGTACAGGTATGGAGAAGACAGGCTCCTGTTTCCCTAAGAAGGCTGACAGAGACCACTACAACCTGTCAGAAAGTCCCTTTCTTTCATCTTCCCCACCTTAACAGGGCTCTTTACTGTCTGCTTCCTCTTACCTCTAACATTCATGTATTATGTCTTTTCTAACCATGTTTGTTGTTTTAGGCATTTTATTAATGTATAAAAGAAAACCCATTAAATCATGACCTACTAACCATTAAATACTGATACACTGAAATAGATTATGAGCTTTCTATTCTTAAGCCTCATTGTGAAAAATACTCTTGGAATATATTCTTTATGTACTATAAAAATTCTTCTGATGAAAAGAGAAGCAGTTCAGACACCATTAATTTCTGAAAATGAGAAAATACTAGAGGCTGCAGGTACTGGCTGAATAAAACTGAGGAGATTTAAAATATTTCTAGGTAGCAAAATACTTTCTTATTTAATTAAAAGGTAGAAATGAGCAGCTTCAAATTACTCATAAAAATTTAAGTGTTCAGCTACACCTTTCCACTCATACAACTCCCACAAGCTATGACTATCAGACAAATATGGACATTAGGAAGGGAGGAAAAAACCAACCTCCAGTATTCTAAATACTTTTCCTATTGTTTTGAAGAAATGGTAATGCCCTGATCTCACATTTTTTGGTTGCTGTAAGAAATAAAATTGACTACTAATCCCTTATAAAGGATGCTAAAGACGTTATGGGTCCACTGCTTAAAAAAAAATCAAAAAAGGTGTTTCTTCCCATAAAGTCCTCTAGAGCTGTGCTGTCCAATAGGTAACCACTAGCTACATGGGGCTCTTGAGCATTTGAAATGTGGGACTCTATTTTTAATTTTATTTAATTTTTATTAAGTTTAACTAAAAAACCAACACTTAGAAAATTTGTATGTTTGAAACAATTTCATAATGTAAATCTACTTCAGCTAAATAATTTAAGGAATCTAAAAAAAAATAATTGAAGGAATCTAAAGAGCAATTATTTCCAATGAATAGTCAGTGAATTAATAAGATGTGCTTTAAATGTAAACACACAGAATTTCAAAGATTTAACACAAAAGAAAATTAAAAACTTCATTAATAATTTTCTATATTGACTATAGATCAAAAGATTTTGGTACAGTAAATAAAATTTACTGTCCAAGTTAATTTTACCTTTTTTTACTTTTTGGTTGCTACTAGAAAATCTAAAATTACATTATGTGGCTCATATTTCTGGTGGACAATGGTATGCTAGAATAAAGTTCCTCAAGTTTTAAAACTCATGCCTCACCCCTAACAAAACTTTCTCTGTATACCCTCACCAGCCAATGAGATTCTTTTTTGTTTTCTTAATGACTCATTTGGTCTCTTTTTACTGCTGAGATTATAAAGCCAACCTTAGAGGTATAAAGGGATAGGGTTATGGCTGTAACTGAGTAGATCCTTTGCACGATGCCAGTTCTAGGAAGAGACAGTAGAGGGCAGTATACTCCCAAAACTGTAAAAAAAACTGGCTGCATTCTTCAGAATGATTCAAACATTTCATTTTTAGATTGATTTTTTTTTGGTCTGTTTTGAATAAAATTCCTATGATAACACTTAATGTTTCAAAATTAGTGAAAGTGCAACTACGATATATACAATCAAATCAGATGTAAAAATAAACCTTTAAAAATTAAAAATCTTACCTTCATGACAACAGGTTTCTCAAAATTATAAACAGAATGGGCCTTCCTTTGAACAAACTTCTGAAACTCTGGACAGAAAGCAATGACAGCATTAGTAGCTTCAAATAAGCAGTGGGGGTAGTAGTGTTAGAAAATACCAATGTCTCATCTCACCATTATAAACCATTTGAAAATTAAAGGGCTCCTCTTCATAGATGTCATTTAAATGTTTCATTGCTATGATAAGACAGATTTCCAAGACTGACAGACCTATAATAAAAGGGGAACAAACTATGAGGTATAGTTTATTTACTGATACATAAGACTGAAATAACTTTCCTTCAAATAGAAAAAGTGAAAGATTATGGTTTTGAGGGGTGGAGGGAGGTCAAGACACCCCTCTAGGTTCAAATGTGTTTCAGTCACTATTATCTGAATAATCTTAAGAAAGTTACTCAACCTCCCGGAGCTCAGTTTTCATATATGTAAAATAGGATCTTCCTAAACTTTCAGAGATGGTACAAGGATTCGAGACAATAGTATCTAACACTTAACCACATAAACCAGAGCTGCAATTATGATGTAACTTCAAAATTACACAGGGCCCTCTATTATTCAGAATCTCTAATCCCCTGGAAATTATATCTAATTTTTTTTTCCTGGAGAGGAGAAGGTTCATTAGATTCTCAAAAGGGATAGTGAACCCCAAATGGCTAAAAGCCAGTGCTCTTCATTAGTACTTGGTGTAATGAGAATGCCTGCAATACAGTCTCAGCTGGATTTACAATGTAGCAAGGGAGGCAGTGCCTCAAGTTTCTTTCACTTTAAATGGGAGGAACAATACCTTTTAAAGGGCTGAGTTAAAGGACATATGGATATAAAAGTATTCTGTATATAAAATACTATACCCAATGTTAATTATAATTTTGAAAATCATATTATACAAACTCAAACATTAAAAAAACTAATTAAGCAGGTTTCTCACCATGTACAATATTTGCTTTAGAGTCCATGCTACACAGCTGGTTTGCCTCCATCAGATCTGCTGCAGTCATAAATGGGTGTGATGGTGTTACACGATTTAAAGCAAGCATCTAAGGAAATGCAGATCAGAAAAACAACTGCATATTTACTTAGGCACTTTGGAGATATTACTGAACAAAACTTCTTAATTCAGAGAGTTATGAAAGAGTAAATAGTAATGCCTGGGAAAGGTATTCTCATATTTAGCTCTATTAAAATACAGTATTTCAGTTCACATGTCATGTAACTGTATAAATGTAAAGCATTAAAAAATTCTTGCTGCTCTCTCTACCCCTTTCCATTTGCATATCTTGTTTGTTTACAACTCCTCAAAAGAAATATATTTTAAAAGGAGTAGGGTGAGGAGAAGACACCAAAAATAAGTAAGACTACTATTTAAAGCCCCAGACTAAACCAAACCAAAAAGGCAGAAGTGTGACTTGTAAAAACTTCCTTACCACCCAATCGACCAATCCAGGTTAGTCTTAAGTGATAGAGGTGAGCTACTTTATATTCAATTGTATTAAAAAGAAAAAAACAAAAACAAAATTATACCAAGAAACAACTCTCCTTGAAAGCAAGGACAAGTTGCCTCCACGTAGCAAGTTCTCTGTCCAACGACTAACAAAAACTTCTGCATTTGAAGATTTATTTGTAACTTTCCTAACATCTAAATTTTACTTAATTTTTTAAAAAATTATTTTTCATTGAAATATAATTGACTCAGCATTTAAATTTAGTCATATAAATAGGGTGAGAGCAGGTAAAAATGCATGACATCTCATTAAATTTGAATTCCAGGTAAACAATGAGTAATTTCTTAGTTTAAGTATATGCCATGTAATATTTGGGACATTAACACTAGAAACTCCTTTTAAAAAAAATTATTTTATTGAAGCATAGTTGATTTACAATGTTGTGTTAATTTCTACTGTATAGCAAAGTGATTCACTTATACATATATATACACTCTTTTTCACTATGGTTTATCACAGGATATTGAATATAGTTCCCTGTGCTATACAGTGGGACCTTGTTTATCCATTCTACCTATATTTTGCATCTGCTAATCCCATACTGCCAATCCATCCCTCCACCACCCCACTCTCACCCTTGGCAGCCACAAGTCTATTCTCTATGTCTGTGAGTCTGTTTCTGCTTCATAGATAAGTTCATTTGTGTCATATTTTAGATTCCACATATAATTGATAGTATATGGTATTTGTCTTTCTCTGACTTATGTCAGTTAGTATGATGATCTCTAGGTCCATCCATGTTGTTGCAAATGGCATTATTTCATTCTTTTTTTAATGGCCGAGTACTATTCCACTGTATATATGTACCACATCTTCATTATCCATTCATCTATCGATGGACATTTAGGGTGTTTCCATGTCTTGGCTATTGTGAATAGTGCTGCTATGAACATACGGTTGCATGTATCTTTTTGAATTACAGGTTTGTGCAAATATATGCCCAGGAGTGGGATTACTGGATCATATGGCAAATCTATTTTTAGTTTTTTGAAGAACCTCCATACTGTTTTCCATAGCAGCTGCACGAATTCACATTCCCACCAACATAGTTGTTGCACAAATTTACATTCCACACTCTCTCCAGCATTTGTTATTTGTAGACTTTTTAATGATGGCCATTCTGACCAGTGTGAGATGGTACCTCACTGTAGTTTTGATTTGCATTTCTCTAATAATTAGCGATGTTGAACATCTTTTCACGTGCCCGTTACCATCTGTATGCCTTCTTTGGAGAAGTATTTATTTAGCTCTACTGCCTATTTTTCGATTGGGTTTTTAATTGTTGTTATTATTAAGTTGTATGATCTGTTTGTATATTTTGGAAATTAAGCCCTTGTCCGTCACATCATTTGCAAATATTTTCTCCCAGTCCTTAGGTTGTCTTTTTGCTTTGTTTATGGTTTCCTTTGCTGTACAAAAGCCTGTAAGTTTGATTAGGTCCCATTTGTTTATTTTTCCTTTAATTTCTATTGCCTTGAACTCTATCCCTTTTTTAACCAGGGCCCAGGGTCCTTAACTGAACAAAAAGTTTGGTAATCCTTGTCCTTCATTCCCCATACTGGGAGGGATCCAGTTACCCAGTAGCTCCTTCCCTTTCTCTTACCTTTTCTTTTTCCTTTTATTATAAAATATTTTTGACATATAAAAAGGCAAAAGAATAATATAATAAATATCCATGACCACTTTCTCAGCTTGCAAAATATAAACTTACAGAGTTGAAGCTCCTGTCTCTTGCCCTGGTTGGACTCTCTACTCTTCTCCATGCAAAAAAATCATGCAAGTCTTCATCCTTCTACTACATATCTTTGTATTCCTAGACAATACAGAGTAATTTTCAAGTTTTATATAAATACCATATTGTACTTAATGCTACTCTTTCTTCACTAGACATCTTTCATGAGAATTCATCTATGTCCAGATGTCAACTGTGGTTTTTTTTTCTGTTATATTCCTTTGTATATATGCACAATTTAATTATTCTTTCCCTTATTGATGAGTATCTGTCATTTTGGGGGAGGGATTATAAACAAGGCTGCAATAAACAATCTTGTACATGCCTTCTTGTGTATTTGAGTCTCTCTAGATACCTACTTTTCCATATTGCTCTCCAAAGTATCTATACATATTTATATTACTAGCAGCAATAAACGTAATAGTCACCATATCATCAGACATAAACTTTTGTTGTTGTTGTTGTTGTTGTTGCAGTACGCGGGCCTCTCACTGTTGTGGCCTCTCCCGTTGCGGAACACAGGCTCCAGATGTGCAGGCTCAACGGCGATGGCTCAAGGGCCCAGCCACTCCGCGGTAGGTGGGATCCTCCCAGACTGGGGCACGAACCTGTGTCCCCTGCATCAGCAGGCGGACTCTCAACCACTTCACCACCAGGGAAGCCCCAGACATAAACTTTTGACACCCACCAGATTGGCAGAAAAAAGGGTTTAACTGTAAAGTTTAAATTGTACCATTTCCCTAATTACTGGAGAGGTTAAATATCTTTGCAATTTATGTCATGTGGGATTCTACACTGGTGGATTGCTTGCACTCATATTCTTGGTTCTTTCCTTTATTTTTCATTATTATTAGTTTTTTAATGGTCGGGATGCAAAAACTCGGGCTCTGTGCACTGGTGCTGAATTGTATCTCAGAGACAGAGTTTTGGGTGAAGTAGAAAAGAACAGCTTTATTGCTTTGCCAGGCAAAGGGGGAGACAGCAGACTCCTGCCCTTGAAAACTGTGGGTCCCAACCTGGGAGGGTTTAGTGAGGAGTTTTATAACAATGGGTCAAGGCCAGGGTTGCTGATAAGGATCAGGGTGTATGCAGGGCCTGCACTCCTTTAATCTGACCTCAGGTGGTCTTTTCTTTTTTTAATTTTTTAATTTTTAATTTTTTTATATTGCAGGTTCTTATTAGTCATCAATTTTATACACATCAGTGTATACATGACAATCCCAATCACTCAATTCAGCACACCACCATCCTCACCCCACCGCGGTTTTCCCCCCTTGGTGTCCATACATTTGTTCTCTACATTTGTGCCTCAACTTTTGCCCTGCAAACCAGTTCATCTGTACCATTTTTCTAGGTTCCACATATATGTATTAATATACAATATTTGTTTTTCTCTTTCTGACTTACTTCACTCTGTATGACAGTCTCTAGATCCATCCACATCTCAACAAATGACCCAATTTCGTTCCTTTTTATGGCTGAGTAATATTCCATTGGATATATATATCACATCCTCTTTATCCATTCATCTGTCGAGGGGCATTTCGGTTGCTTCCATGACCTGGCTATTGTAAACAGTGCTGCAATGCACATTGGGGTGCATGTGTCTTTTTGAATTATGGTTTTCTCTGGGTATATGCCCAGTAGTGGGACTGCTGGATCATACGGTAGTTCTAGTTTTAGTTTTTAAGGAACCTCCACACTGTTCTCCATAGTGGCTGTATCAATTTACATTCCCACCAACCTTGTAAGAGGGTTCCCTTTTCTCCACACCTTCTCCAGCATTTGTTGTTTGTAGATTTTTCTGATGATGCCTATTCTAACTAGGGTGAGGTGATACCTGATTGTAGTTTTGATTTGCATTTCTCTAATAATTAGTGATGTTGAGCAGATTTTCATGTGCTTCTTGGCCATCTGTATGTCTTCTTTGGAGAAATGTCTATTTAGGTCTTCTGCCCATTTTTGGATTGGGTTGTTTGTTTTTTTTTTTTTTACTATTGAGCTGTTTATATATTTTGGAGATTAATCGTTTGCTGATTTATTTGCAAATATTTTCTCCCATTATGAGGGTTGTCTTTTTGCCTTGTTTATGGTTTCCTTTGCTGTGCAAAAGCTTTGAAGTTTCATTAGGTCCCATTTGTTTATTTTTGTTTTTATTTCCATTACTCTAGGAGGTGGATCAAAAAAGATCTTGCTGTGATTTATGTCAAAGAGTGTTCTTCCTATGTTTTCCTCTAAGAGTTTTATAGTGTCTGATCTTACATTTAGGTCTCTAATACATTTTGAGTTTATTTTTGTGTATGGTGTTAGGGAGTGCTCTAATTTCATTCTTTTACATGTAGCTGTCCAGTTTTCCCAGCACCACTTATTGAAAAGACTCCCTTTTCTCCACTGTATATCTTTGACTCCTTTGTCATAGATTTGTTGACAATAGGTGCGTGGGTTTATCTCTGGGCTTTCTATCTTGTTCCATTGATCTATGTTTCTGTTTTTGTGCCAGTACCATATTGTCTTGATTACTGTAGCTTGGTAGTATAGTCTGAACACAGGGAGTCTGATTCCTCCAGCTCTGTTTTGTGCCCTCAAGACTGCTTTGGCTATTCAGGGTCTGTTGTGTCTCCATACAAATTTTAAGATTTTTTGTTCTAGTTCTGTAAAAAATGCCACTGGTAATTTGATAGGGATTGCATTGAATTTGTAGATTGCTTTGGTTAGTACAGTCAATTTCACAATACTGATTCCTCCGATCCAAGAACATGGTATATCACTCCATCTGTTGGTATCATCTTTAATTTCTTTCATC